ATCGGGGCGAACCATTATAGCCTACCATAAGGTGGTGCACCGGCAGCTCTTCAAAGCGGTTGCGATCCTTCTCGGCGAGATCGCCGCGAGTACATGGAAGTGTTCGTGGGGGGTACACCCCACGCCGAGGATATGGCAGAACGTCAAACAATACTTTGACAACACAGACGATACAGTCACTCTCGCATTTCACAATGACGATTTGGTCGGCTTCTTCAACAGTGTCCCTCAGGATCAGGTGTGCGCAGCAGTTGAGCAGGTATTAGCAGAGCACCGGCGAGAGCATGCTGGTCTCATCTATTCGGTGGGAACTCAGGCGGCGGTCCACTACAACCGGGTCTTTGCGGGTAAGCAATCCTATGGACGCACGCCGACTACGCGGGTCATTTATGTGGAAGACATCCTGGATATAGTCAAATCCAGCTTCCAATGCATGTACGTCCAGGTGGGAACTCTCATTCTTCGCCAAGTCCATGGAACAGCGATTGGCTCTCAGCTGAGCCCAGTTCTCAGTCACATTTGCGTCGCGCGGCACGAAGTTCTCTGGCAGCGTATTTACGGACAATGGTTCGCCAGCCACAACATCTTCTTGGAGCGATATGTCGACAACAGATTTGTGATCTTCCCGTCTCCGGCTTCCGGTCACCCAGCAGCCCCATTGGAGGCTTTGCTTCACGCTGACTTTTATGGTGCACCCATCGTGTTGGAACAGGTGGGTTTCTCTGAGTTCCTCGGCTTTGTCATCGACGTAGGCGACCGGGCGATTTACTACAAAACCCCAACAAAAATCTGGCAGATCAGAGGACCCCACACTGCAGGAAGTCTTTCCACCCTTCTCTCCGGGGCTAGATCACGGTCAGCTCTCGCCACCAAGTATGCGCACCCGGCACGGGCAGTACAGATGGCGTTGGATCAGCTTCGCAGTATCTATTTGTCCGCCGGCTACAAGTCAGCGGATCTGCAGCACCTGTTTCATCTTCCGGCCATCCCAACCGGAAAGAATGTTTATGTGCTGATTGTCCTTGTTTCTTGAGGTTCGGCTGCGTGGCCCTTGCTGGTTCTGTTCGGTTCGGTCCTTTTCCAAACGGGGTCGGGCTCGGTTGGGCTGTTGGGCTGGGGTTTTTCTGGTTGAGTTCCGGAGCCCTTTGACTCGTGGGTTTATCACGGAGCTTATCTGGTGGTTCAAGACGTGGGCCTTTTTCGCCGACATCGGAACGCGGTCGTCATGCTCGGACGCATGATTGCACTCCACCACCGGATGACCCAGAACGCTGCGGACATGATGCAACTCATCCAGGAGACCTTGAATCAGGCTGACGAGGCACACAGTCGCAGGATTCATGGCGGGCACGATGGCGTGCGGCATCATCATGTCCGAGGTCTATCGCTGGCAGAATCATCGCGACCGCGAGCACATGACCATGCCCGACTAGATGAGGTAGAACCACCTGGCCCCGGGATTCGGCATTCGGTCAACTCGGAGGATCTGGCTGACCCTCCGCCGCTAGTCGACGCTCAATCACTCCAGCTACACGTGGACCACCAGCACAACGCGGTGGTTAACCCCAAGTCGCTGTCCTACGGCGTCGTCACGGGGGAGGCCAACGAGGCTATAGACCCACGCCCGAAGAGCTCCATGGCGCACACCCATGTCGGTCAGCCGAGCATCAAGAAGGCCAATGTTCCCAGCTCCATCATGGACAAGTGTGGGACCGATCGGCGCAGAACGAAGCGGAAGCGATGCCGTGCTACTTCCTCCGAGAGGACGCACTCCCCGGAGCCTCCAGCACGTCCAGTACCTCGCACTCCAGCGCCAGCTCCAGTATCTCCTTGCGTGGTCCCATTCTCCTCTCCTGAATCCCTTCCCGAAGCCCCTGCTCGTGCTCACTCTGATCCAGGAACTCCCCCGGAGGTACCTCGCGCCTGGACAGAGGAAGATGACCAGCAGCTTTGCAGCCTGAAAGCGGACAACCGGTCCAAGTACTCGTACAAATCGCTGGCCAAGAAGCTCAACAGGTCCATTGCGGATGTCACGCAGCGCTGGAGGAGCCTGGAACGTCTCAGAAAGTTGAAGGAGCAGCACCAGAAAGCGACCATCTCAAACCAATGCACCTGAGCTCAGACGGCGATGCTACGTGGTAAAATGATCGTGAGCAGTTAGGCAGGAGTTCTGCCAACCGTCTAAACTACCCATCGGCAATCATGATGGAGGCGGCTTTTAGGCGGTTCGGTTTTTCTTCCCCCTGCGGGGGGTGTGTGTGTGGCCCCCCTGTTCCTAAGGGGTTCCGCGGTCGTGCTTTTTCTCTTTTTTGGAGTCGGGTGCCACCATGCGGATTGCTGATTCAAAAGTACCTCGAGAGTGGCGATGGCACCCCTGATGAGGACGCCTCTCACGAGCGAAATTGTTTCAGGATAAGCATGCCGAAACTCCAACCTGATTCCGTGCTTGCGTCCTCCTACGTTTCGGGGTGCACATTCGCAGTTTGCCGTCTCATATCAAGTGTGTGTGTGTGTGTGTGTGTGTGTGTGGGTGCGTGCGTGCGTGCGTGCGTGCGTGCGTGCGTGCGTGCGTGCGTGCGTGCGTGCGTGCGTGCGTGCGTGCGAGCGTGCGTGCGTGCGTGCGTGCGTGCGTGCGTGCGTGCGTGCGTGCGTGCGTGCGTGCGTGCGTGCGTGCGTGCGTGCGTGCGTGCGTGCGTGCGTGCGTGCTGCGTGCGTGCGTGCGTGCGTGCGTGCGTGCGTGCGTGCGTGCGTGCGTGCGTGCGTGCGTGCGTGCGTGCGTGCGTGCGTGCGTGCGTGCGTGCGTGCGTGCGTGCGTGTGCGCGTGTGTGCGTGTGTGCGTGTGTGCGTGTGTGCGTGTGTGCGTGTGTGCGTGTGTGCGTGTGCGTGTGCGTGTGCGTGCGCGTGCGCACGGGATTAATAGGTAAGGAATGGATAGAGGTGTGAGAATGCATGATCCAAGAGACGAGGAGACGAGGCGGGTTGGCAGGTACTAACTCATTCTCTCACCTCCATTCACTCACTTCGCTCCCGTCTGTCTTTCCCTTCTCCTCTTCCTCCACTGTCGGGCGAGTCAAGGGAGACCAGACGGTGAGAGAGGAAGTGATGGAGGGACAGGAATGGAATGAGTGGGTCCAGAGTCTTCCTTCCGTGTCTTTCATTGACCGTCAGGACCTTATCATTATCCACATTCCCATGCCATTCCTTTCCCTTCGTTCCTCAGTCACTCTCCCACCCATTAACCCTACCACCTACCAGCCAATGGCTGAGGCTTGGAGGGAATGGGATGTTGGATGGTCACCTCTTTTCCATTCCTTCGTACCCTCACTCATTCCTAAGGTTGGGACGGGAAGTGAAAAGGGATGAAGATAAGGGTGAGAGAAGAGAACCCGTCCCCATTGCCTCTCTCTTCCCTTCCTGTTCCTCCTCCATTCTGTCGTTCACCGGCCCAGCCGTGGGAAGGTTGAGGGAATGACCTGTCTCTTTATCTCGTCTTTCATTGCAGCTGTTAAGATCCTAGAGAAAGCTGCAGGACATGGAAAGACGAGGAACAAAGATAAATAGAATTACAATATAAAATGATGAATGAAAATAAAAGAAAAGAATAAACAAAGCAAATAATAATAAAAGAGAATGAAAAAGGCACGCGTGCGTGCGTGCGTGCGTGCGTGCGTGCGTGTGTTGGTGGGAGGGGTTGTTGGTCGGTGGGTGCGTGAGTGTGTGGGTGGGTGCGTGGATGTGGTCTTTCTGTGTTTCTCTGTTTGTTATTTGTTTCTTTCTTTCTTTCTTCGTGTGGAGTTCCAGATCAACACCCCTGGTGCCACCTTTTTTGTTTGCAGGGGTGCCTGCTTGGTGGGGCATCCGCAAAGTGACTTAGTAACTTAGTGACTCCGTGGGCGACTCTGCCGTTTAAGCGTCGACCTCGATGGACTGGAAATCTACAGGTACAGCTTTCAGGAGTTTATTTTCAGTTTGACCGCGCTCCTATAAAGTAGAATGCTGTTCTTGCTGGTTTGTGCTTGGCTCGTTGTCTTTCTGCTTTTTTCCTTTGTTCCCTTGATCAAATTCTCGTACATGTCCCCATTGCTGGGTGGCTACCTGCTCTGCCGGCTCTCTACTTCGTGCCGTTCCTTGCTCACCTGTTCGCATCCTTCCTGTACGTTCCTCCAGCTGTTTCTCGTCCTGTTCGCCTTTCTCGTCCTCTTCGTTTCGTTTACCAGGTGGTCTTTTTCTTCGGTCTCTTCCCGGAATGGTTTGCTCTCTGGCTCTCTGGTACTTTGTCCTCGTTGACTGCTTCGTGTGTTCGTCCTGTGCCTGAATTTTCATCCGTGGCTTGTCCGTCTCCTCCGGCATGCCCCTTCACGGGATGGCTTCTTTTTGCTGTCTTCCACCAATCGTTTTTGCGTGATCCTCGCCTACAAGGTTTAGATTTGTTTGGCTTGTTTAGGGCTGTTGCCTTCGAAGACTTGGTTCCCTTGTGTTGCTTGTTTCTCGGTCAAGGTATTGCACGACTTGGGGCTGCTGTTTCTTTTCCGTTTGGACCACGCTCCTCCGGGTGCGTGTGTGTCTGTGTATGTGTGCATTCCGAGATCTAGTTCAACTCTGAAACCGCAATGTTTGTTTGCAAGGGCGTGTGGCGCTCGCATCCTCCACCCTACCTACCGCGCAAAGAAGCTGTGGACGAGCAAGGCCTGCTTTGGCCTTGTGTGCTTCTTGGTTGGCTCTGCAACGTTTTCGCGCCTAGAGGGAAGCCAAGTGCAGCCATTTGACTCGAGTCAGCCTGCTCGAGCCCATTCACTCGAACAAACCCACTTGATTGATCCCACTCGAATTTGTCTCATTCGAGACTTGGATCTTTCCACCCCTCCTTGGGGACTTGCGTGTGCAGTTGCCCGCCCTCGGCTCCCATCACACCCTACATTTCATAGCCAACAAGCGCGTTTTCGATTTCTATGTATTTTCCAGACATTACGCACTAGTCTACATGACTAGTCTCTTCTCAGGTAGACCATGATGAACAGCTTGCCCTGCTTGCCGAAGCAGCCCGGCGTTGGAAGCTCAATCGATGCGAACCGATCTGTTGTATCGCGTAGGGAAACGCGTGCAGACCCGACTTGGCAGACAGGTACTTGCACAGTCAGCTGATATTGGAGTTGTCGGCGTCCTGAATGCAGGTGCTGCTGCTTTTGACGAGGAGCTGCAGAAGCAGCGGTCGCACCTCAGTGTGCAATGGCCAAGCTTCACACCATAGCGTGTCGCGTTGCAGAGAAGCCGTCGGAAGTGCCTGCTGCATGTCAATTTGGGAGCGTGAGCAGAAAAGGCAAGAGGCTATCTTAACTTCAGAAGTCTCAGGGATTCTTGAGGCACATGAAGAAGCGGCGGAAAGCTTTGCAGAAGGGAGAGCTCGAGCAGGTGTGGACGGCCCTCATGTTGGCGCTTGATTGTCCAAGCCTCGTAGCAGGCTGATCCGTTGGAAGCCTGTCGGACGCTGGCAGACGAAGAGGTCCTGAAGAGATTGGCCAAAGAGCAGGCTGGGCCTCTGAAAGATGCAGCGCCCTAGGCTGTCAGGGGAACGTTCCAGCAATGGCAGTCAAGGGCTTTAGTTTTGTGCACCCGCAGGCTGATGCCTGTGCCCAATGCGAGGCAAGGATGTAGATGCAACAGTGTGAGCAGAGACACTTTGGGAATCAGACTTCACGTGGACCCAAGCACCTTCATACATCTTCATACCGCATCTTTGCAATTTGCCGATTGAGAGATGCGCGGCGCATACTTGAGGCCATGGCGGCGATTGGCGATGGGGTGGCCTGGGAGGAGCTTGGCGCTGCCTGGGCGCAAATGCAGACGCCTGGCCGGGAGGGCGTGGCTTGCCCACGTCGTGCGTTGGGGCCATCAGGAAGAGCTCGCATAAGCCTTAATGAGAGTGGCACGTCGACATGATTGAAAGTTGGACTTGTTGCATATTTGTGTGAACCGCACTGCGTGCACACATGCAATAAGCAAAACCACACACAAACACATGCAGAAAAACAAACACACACACACACACCAACACACACGCACACATGATGTCCACCTCAAATAGGCCGCCCCCTCCAACCTCCCCGAAATGAAGTTTAAGCGACTGTTTTCAATTTGTTTCGTGTTCGAATCGACTTTTGGAATTGAATTGGAGCCCAGGAAATCTAGCATTTCTACGTTTGAACTGGCTTTGTACTGCGATCAAAACTTCCAGGACCTTTGGCAATACTGAGGACCGACCAAACCCCCCCAATGGCTTTTTTTTGTAAAGACTGAATACGAAAGCATATTCGGTGTTACGGCGCTGTGGTCGCGGAAGACCGCGGAAGGGCGAGCGGAAGTTTCGCGGAAGGTTATGTGTTATCATGGGGTGAAGCTTTACTCGTGTACTACACGAGTACTGAGTACTGAAAAGTTGTGCTGCTTGAGCTGGGGCGGCTCGTGCCCTGCTAGTGCTTGAAAACTGCGATGTTTGAGCTGGGCTGTCAAAGTCAAAGTGTGCTTCATGTGTTGAATTGTACTGAGATGAAAACGAAACCGAACAATACCTGCGAAATTCCGAAACGATACTCGGCAGTTTGTACAAACGCGCGAAAAATGAATTCCGCGGTCATAAGTTCGTGTTTTCGCGCGCTTCGGACCACGAAACGTGCTCTGGCACCATATCCGCGGTTTTTTTGATGCCCGCGGCAGAGTTTGTAGAAACACGCGAAAAACGAATTTTGCGGTAATTCGTTTTCTCGCGCGTTTCGGACCTCGAAAAGCGCTGTCGCATCATATTTGGCGGTCCTTTTAATTCCCGCACCAGAGTTTGTAGAAACGCGCGAAAAAACAAATTTCGCGGTCCGATTTTTTTTTCGCGTTTCGGACCTCGAAAAGCACTGTGGCATCATTTTCGGCTGTTCTTTTGATTCCCTCGGCAGAGTTTGTAAAAACGCTCGAAAAAATGAATTTGGAGGTCCGATTTTCTTGCGCGCGTTTCGGACCTCGAAAAGTGCTCTGGCATCATTTTCGGCTGTTCTTTTGATTCCCTCGGCAGAATTTGTAAAAACGCTTGAAAAAATGAATTTGGAGGTCCGATTTTTTTGCGCGCGTTTCGGACCTCGAAAAGTGCTCTGGCATCATATTCGGCTGTCCTTTTGATTCCCGCGGCAGAGTTTGTAGAAACGCTCAAAAAATATGTTCGCGGTCCGAAATTCTACCAGAATCTCACGTTCAGCTCCGGAGCTCCGGCCCTGGCACTGGAGTCATGCTCATGGGCCAAGAAAACCATTTGAAGGTGTGCAATTCACGAAGGACAAAGGGTGCGCATTTCCCCACGCAAATGTTCCGCTGATTGCCGTACTTTTTCCGCAGATTTCCGCACTTTTCCCGTAGATTTCCGTGCATTTCCCGCCGATTTCCGTGCATTTCCGGTTTCTGCATTTTGGCTGCGACAACTGCAAACTCGCAAAAGCGGCAAGGAAGCTGTCACACGTTGCCCCACAGCAATAGGAGACGAATGACCTGAAACGGACTTAAGTATGACGGGCCATGTAAATTTGTTCATGTGCATCCATGTGCACCACAAACGCTCACAGCCTGCTAAAAGCGAGTTCCGTCAAATTTCCTCAAAAGTGTACATTGACGTTTTTTCTGCATGTGCAGAACTTTCAGTACTTTTGGAGGGTTCAGGTATTCGGCTGTCCTTTTGATCCCCGCGGCAGAGTTCGTAGAAACGTGTCAAAAAATCAGCATGAAAAGTCGCTTGCGTCGATTGCTCTTGCCTCTTGCTGCTTCTGCTCCTCTTCCCCAAGCTCCGTTCCTATTGCTCATGCTCTTTGCTTGGACGCGCAGGCGCCACAGTTGTCGCGCAGTGCCAGATCTCCAAGCGATACCTAAAACGATGCCAAAGCGAAACCCATACAATTGCAGCTGTCGCCTTGCGCCGGGGCTGGCCCACCCGTCTCGTGTTTTAGCGTGAATTGTCGCTTGTGTCTGTTTTCCGGTGCTGCTGCTTATTCTCTCGCCCGGGGACGCCGCAGTTGTAGCTGCGTGCTAGCGCTCAAAACGATACCCAAAACGATACCAAAACGAAGCCCCCGGAACTGTGACTGTCGCCGTGCGCGGGGGGTGGTCAGTTTCTTAGTTCCTCCCTCCGGTGTTCTGCTGCTCTGCTTCCTACGTTTGCTTGTCCCTCTCCATCCTTTTGCTCGTTCTGCTCTTCGTCCCGTCCTCGCTCCATTCCTAGTCTACTTCTTGCTTTCTGCACTAGCTCTTCCTCTTGGCTTGCTTTACTTTTCCTTTACTGAAACTTACTTGTGTTCAGACACGTATCAGAACATGTGGTTTTGCCTGCATCGCGGAAGTTCGCGGAAGATTCGCGGAAGGGCGAGGCGGAAGGCGATTTTTGGAGCAAGGAATATTGGACAACCCTCGCTAGTTTAAACAGGGCAATTCTGCTTTTAAGTGGATTTCATTATATTCGAGGGTCAATTCGTTTTATTCGGGGGTTGTGTTGGGGAATTTCATGGGCCCATTCTTGCATTTTGAGGTCACAGCCATGCCGCCCCATGTAGCCTGTTGGCTTGCAGTGAAGCACATGGAACTGGCAAATACGCGCTTGAAAATGGAGAACATGATTGAGGTACTTGTCGCTTATATACGGTGTTTCTCCAGCCGTGCGGCTAGGTCGAGCAAGTTTGGGCACTTAAGGTTGCTTCGGCCCCTAGCGCCTCAACCGGCGAATTACTGCTGCCCAACCAGGCTCTGTGAAGGATATCAGCTTCACACTGTCAACCCTGCAGCCGTCTAGCCACACCATTGCAGTTGAAAATGCTTTTCAAAAACCGCCCACGAGCCAGTCTTAAGGTGTATACTAATTCAAGACGCCAACTGCCTGCAGCTAAAAAAAGCAACGGGGTCAAGCAACTTGCTTTACACTTAGCAGTATTTGCAAGCATTGCTTGCGCCAACTTCTTCCTGCAACACGCTGAGATCTAAGGCACAGTGAGAATGGGAAGGATTTTATTCGGGTTCAAAAGTTTTTGCTGCGGGGCGAGTGCCGATGTGATCGGGGCAACTGCTTCAACAAGTTTGCTGCAAAGCCAGGCCTACAAGCAGAACTGAACTCCTTCCTGAAAATGTTCTAGGATATAAAACCTGCTCAAGACTTTCACCAAGGAACCTTAGCTTGGATCTTTCCTGCGCAAAATACACATAATCCCTTGAGGCACCCCGACCCCTCCCTGAAATCCACAAGTTCGTGCGGGCAGTCACCATCGCCAAGCTCTAGACCAGCGTTTCCAGCGCATTGGGGCGGTTCCTTTGATTGAAAGGTCAGGACCATGTTTCAAACATGTTGGCCTGCAACTCCACCCCCCCCCCCTGGCCCCCAAGGTTCACAAAAGGAAGCCGGTGAAGCACATAAAGCTCGACATATTCTTCATGAGTCTGTATGCTTCCCAACAAGTGTGTTGTCCAATGCAGCAAGAATCAGGCAAAACACTAAGGTTCCAAAGGCTGCCCGATCTCGCAAACCGACACCAGAGGTGGTGAATGTGGCGAAACCGTGTGGATAATGGAAAGTGGATATGAGTGTCATGGGTTGTCAGGGCACAACCTTTTTCAGCTAGCCTAATCTACCGCTCCCCCCCCCCCGAGTTGCCGAAGATTTAGAGGTTTCAAAGAAGAACCTGGATGACGATGAGTGATTTGGCCACTCGAACTTGTGCCAAGGCTAGCAGAACCAAATTTTGGGTGCAATTTCGAGACCCTTCGCACCAGAAGCCTGCCACGGGGAAACCTGAAAATGCTGCATTCTCAGTGTCCACGCAAAGTGGGGCTGCTTGGCTGCTTTGCTTTGGCTGGGCCTCTTCATGATGCGCGGGTTATAGGTGAAGCAAAGGTACTCCCCATTGTTCACACGCTTCACGCGCAAGTTGAAACACCTCCTACAAATTGCGCCAAGCTTTCCGGCGAGTGACACGTGCTCCTACTGCAAACAGGTTTGTGGGAACTGTTTTCTAAAGGTCCGCGTTAACGAGTCAGTTGGGTTGCTTGACGTGCCGCTGAGGACTCTACATCAAAATTCGAGCGGCCAGGGCCTACACCCGCCGTCTCGATAAGACTGCAGCTGAAAGGAGCTTGGAAGAAATCTTCCGGGCACAGCGTTTGCTTTGGCTTAGAAAGTGTTGCGATGGTCACTCTGCAGCCAAACGCAGGCCATGAGGCCATTGGACTATCCCTTGCTCCCCTGTGCGTTCGCAGGGTTACTTGGCTATTGCAACAATGCTTGCGTATGATAGCGCTGCGGAGACGCAGCCCAGCTTTGGACATGCTGCGATTTTCTCACCCGCAGCACTGTGAGGGTTTCGTGCTTTTACTACGCTGTGTTTGCGCCGCCGCCTCCTCTTCCGTCCTCGACGTCCTCATTCACTCAGTTTCGCCCGCCCACCTGTGCTGAGCCACTCATTCTTTCTGAACCGCCCTCACTCACTCATCGTAACTTCTCACCTACCCATCCGCACTCACTGACTCTCAGTCGCTCATTCTCAACTAGTCTCACTCATACATTCCCGCTCCCTCATTCTCGCTCGCTCTTTCTCACTTGACTCACTCATTCTTACTTTGCATTCTTACTCACTCATGAGTCACGCTCACTCCTTTTCACTCATTCTCCCTCGTTCTCACTCCGTCTCACTCATTCTCACTCCTTCTCCTCCACATCACGCATCACCTCCCGTGCCTTTAGCATCGCCTATCCCTGTATTTCCGCACTTCAGCACTGAAAAAAGAGCGGAGGGAAGGAGTGAGCGAGCGAGTGAGTGAGAATGAGTGAGAGTGAGTGAGTTTGAGGCAGAATGAGTGGAAAGCACAAAGATGAGGGATCAGGCGCTGGTTTTGGAAGCGCAGGTACGGAAGTTTCGCACCACTTCTAAAGGGGTACGTACTTCCCAACATGCTTGTGCGCACAGTTTTTTCATTTACGTGTATGTATGCGCTCGCGAAGCATAGCCCAAAATGGTATCCCTTTGCACCAGCCAGCAGAAGGTACAGCGCCCTCAAAACAAAGCCGCCTGAGGCCTGAGGCCTGTCCTTGTGAGCCCTGCTGCAACTTCGGCCCAAACTTTCTTTTTGCAACCTTGCCCCTGAAGATCTTTGTACATATCATCAACTCTGGTTTTTTCACTTGGTCAGCGCTCCCTTGGTTCCCTGAATGGTTGTTTCCCTCTCTAAGCAAAAGACTGGTGAATACTTGGGAGTGGAAAAGGCGACTATTTGGCATCCCTGGCAAAGGCGACGGTTTGGCATCACGCTGCGTGATCAGTTGGCTGATGAGGAACTTCTGGAATTTCAGGAGCCACTCAGGCAATCAAAAGCATACATGGGTCACCTTTCAGGGATCCAAGTTGTGGCTTTTCAAAAGGTGATGGTTCGGTACAAACCGTCGCCTTTTGACAGCAGGATGTGACAGGCTAAGGAAACAGAGGGAAGAGCGAAAGGAGAAAATCCGAGAAAAGGGGAGGCCGGAAGAACTTAGAACGATTGAGAAAAGGGGAGATATTCTTAGGTTGGCTTGGTTGGGGGGCGGGGGAGGGTTGTGGCACGGGGGCAGAAGGTGATGGTTTGAGGCAAACCGTCGCCTTTTCAAAATCCAGGATTAGAACCCCAAAAAGGTGACGCATTTATTCTGACTGGCGATTTGTTGGGTCAAATCGTCGCCTTCCGCGGGGAAGCGAAACCGTCGCCTTTCCCAGGGATGCCAAACCGTCGCCTTTGCCAGGGATGCCAAATAGTCGCCTTTTCCACTCCCAAGTATTCACCAGTCTTTTGTTTACAGAGGGAAACAACCATTCAGGGAACCAAGGGAGCGCTGACCAAGTGAAAAAACCAGAGTTGATGATATGTACAAAGATCTTCAGGGGCAAGGTTGCAAAAAGAAAGTTTGGGCCGAAGTTGCAGCAGGGCTCACAAGGACAGGCCTCAGGCCTCAGGCGGCTTTGTTTTGAGGGCGCTGTACCTTCTGCTGGCTGGTGCAAAGGGATACCATTTTGGGCTATGCTTCGCGAGCGCATACATACACGTAAATGAAAAAACTGTGCGCACAAGCATGTTGGGAAGTACGTACCCCTTTAGAAGTGGTGCGAAACTTCCGTACCTGCGCTTCCAAAACCAGCGCCTGATCCCTCATCTTTGTGCTTTCCACTCATTCTGCCTCACACTCACTCACTCTCACTCATTCTCACTCACTCGCTCGCTCACTCCTTCCCTCCGCTCTTTTTTCAGTGCTCAAGTGCGGAAATACAGGGATAGGCGATGCTAAAGGCACGGGAGGTGATGCGTGATGTGGAGGAGAAGGAGTGAGAATGAGTGAGAAGGAGTGAGAACGAGGGAGAATGAGTGAAAAGGAGTGAGCGTGACTCATGAGTGAGTAAGAATGCAAAGTAAGAATGAGTGAGTCAAGTGAGAAAGAGCGAGCGAGAATGAGGGAGCGGGAATGAATGAGTGAGACTAGTTGAGAATGAGCGACTGAGAGCCAATAAGTGCGAATGGGTAGGTGAGAAGTTACGATGAGTGAGTGAGGGCGATTCAGAAAGAACGAGTGGCTCAGCATAGGTGAGCGGGTGAGACTGAGTGAATGAGGGCGTCGAGGACGGAAGAGACGGGAGGAGAAGCAACCGGGAGACGCAAACACAGCGTAGTAAAAGCACGAAACCTTCACAGTGCTGCGGGTGAGAAAATCGCAGCATGTCCAAAGCCGGGCTGCGTCTCCGCAGCGCCATCATACGCAAGCATTGTTGCAACAGCCAAGTAAGCATGCGAACGCATAGGGGAGCAAGGGATAGTCCAATGGCCTCATGGCCTGCGTTTGGCTGCAGAGTGACCATCGCAACACTTTCTAAGCCAAAGCAAACGCTGTGCCCGGAAGATTTCTTCCAAGCTCCTTTCAGCTGCAATCTTATCGAGACGGCGCGTGTAGGCCCTGGCCGCTCGAATTTTGATGTAGAGTCCTCAGCGGCACGTCAAGCAACTCAACAGACTCAGTATCACCGACCTTTAGAAAACAGTTCCCACAAACCTGTTTGCAGTAGGAGCACGTGTCACTCGCCGGAAAGCTTGGCGCAATTTGTAGGAGGTGTTTCAACTTGCGCGTGAAGCGTGTGAACAATGGGGAGTACCTTTGCTTCACCTATAACCCGCGCATCATGAAGAGGCCCAGCCAAAGCAAAGCAGCCAAGCAGCCCCACTTTGCGTGGACACTGAGAATGCAGCATTTTCAGGTTTCCCCGTGGCAGGCTTCTGGTGCGAAGGGTCTCGAAATTGCACCCAAAATTTGGTTCTACTAGCCTTGCCACAAGTTCGAGTGGCCAAATCACTCATCGTCATCCAGGTTCTTCTTTGAAACCTCTAAATCTTCGCCATGGCCTGCACCCTCATCAGATCTTGCAATTTCGGGGGGGGGGGGTAGATTCGGCCAGCTGACAAAGGTTGTGCCTTGATAACTTATGATATGTATATTCATTGTTTATTATTTACGTTTTCGCCACATTCACCACCTCTGGTGTCGGTTTGCGAGATCGGGCAGCTTTTGGAACCTTAGTGTTTTGCCTGATTCTTGCTGCATTGGACAACACACTTGTACTTGTTGGGAAGCATACAGATTCATGAAGAGTATGTCGCGCTTTATGTGCTTGACCGGCTTGTTGTTGTGAACTTGGGGGGGTGGAGTTGCAGGCCAACATTTTTGAATCATGGTCCTGACCTTTCAAAAGGAACCGCCCCAATGCGCTGGAAACGCTGGTCTAGAGCTTGGCGACGGTGACTGCCCGCACGAACTTGTGGATTTCAGGGAGGGGTCGGGGTGCCTCAAGGGAATATGTGTATTTTGCGCAGGAAAGATCCAAGCTAAGGTTCCTTGGTGAAAGTCTTGAGCAGGTTTTATATCCTAGAACATTTTCAGGAAGGAGTTCAGTTCTGCTTGTAGGCCTGGCTTTGCAGCAAACTTGTTGAAGCAGTTGCCCCGATCACATCGGCACTCGCCCCGCAGCAAAAACTTGTGAACCCGAATAAAATCCTTCCCATTCTCACTGTGCCTTGGATCTCAGCATGTCGCAGGAAGAAGTCGGGGCAAGCAATGCTTGCAAATACTGCCAACTGTAAGGCAAGTTGCTTGACCCCGTTGCTTTTCTCAGCTGCAAGCAGTTGGCGTCTTGAATTAGTATAAATCTTGAAGACTGGCTCGTGGGCGGTTGTTTAAAAGCGTCTTCAACTGCAATGGTGTGGCTAGACGACTGCAGGTTTGACAGTGTCAAACTGAGAGCCTGGTTGGGCAGCAGTACTTTGCCCCTGAGCAGTCAGCAGCCGCTTGAGGCGCCAGAGGCCGAAGCAACCTTAAGTGCCCAAACTTGCTCGACCTAGCCGCATGGGCTGGAGACACACCGTATATAAGCGATAATTACCTCAATCATGTTCTCCATTTTCTACTAGCGCATTTGCTAGTTTTATGTGCTTCATTGTAAGTTAACAGGTTACATGTGGCGGCATGGCTGTGACCTCAAACTGCAAGACTGGGCCCATAAATTTCCCAACACAACCCCCGAATAAAACGAATTGACCCTCGAATATAATGAAATTCACTTTTTTGAGTTGTTTTGTATCAGAAAGCTTGGCAGTGTTCAAAAGGGGCAATTCTACTGTTGGTTGTTTTTTGTATTGGGATGCATTGACGCAGCAACATATATTTTCTTTAAAGGTAATATTGTTATTTAATTGCTTTTGTATTTGGGTCCATTTCCAGGAAGTGACCCAGATGATTAGCTTCATTTTCGCATGTTTTTGGAGAAGGCTTCACATAAAGAAAACATCATGCAACCGGACTGTTTTATAACACGCGCATTTGCGTGTTCAACACTGCCTTTCGAAAGGCCTCCAAAAGGCAACGCGCCCCTGCAACTACTCCAAAATCTGCCTCAGTCAATTGAAAGGACGTTTTTCGTGTTCAAGGCCTGCGAAGAAACAAAAACGCCCATGGAGGCAACATCAAGAGAGACGATTGCAAACTATGATCACTTGTCAGAATCACTACTCAGGAAAGACATCAGCAAGGCCGAGAAGGAGCTTTTGGCATGTGTTCGTGCTTCCAAGGCCAAAGTCGCCAGCACGGGCACAGATAGGCAACAGTGACCAATAGTGAAGTCGCCTCGCCAGGAGGCCAGAGAGGCTGCCAAAGTTGTAGCGGAGACCGGCTGCGCTATGCTCAAGATGCTCGAGTGGATGAAACAAACTTGAACCGATGGCCAGCTACATGCATGCTGTGCCGTTTTGGAAAACCTTTTTGAACACCTCGCTGACGACAATGCGGGGGAAGGGGTTCCGGAATTGCAAGGTGGCTTGGTGGAAGCCCTTGGGCTCACAGAGCAGGCCTGCCCAGGTCACAAGTCTTGCGCCATTGACTCACCGACGTGTCACATGCGCACATGGAAGGCGATTCCGATTGAATCTGCCCATATCTGGCCAAAGTTCCAAAGTGTTTGCACTGTGCCTGTGTGCTTGCAATGCGCAGGCCGTGCAATCGACAAAGACCAATCTGTCGGCTGTGAGGCCTGGTTGTGCCTCTGAAGGTCTCAGCCTCTCAACACATCGACCGCATCGGCTGCCAGGCGAGTTGAGGATGACTCCGAAGCACGCCGCGCTGCGTTGCAGGAGGTCCCGTTGCCATTCGAAGCTTCAGATCCGAAACCACAAGTTCCTTAACAGGAAACAGTTGACATGCTTAAAGGGCGGACACTAGTGAGCAGTTTTGCCTCGTGCTGCATATTGTGTTGATGCTTTGCTTCCCGGCCTTTTGGCTCGAGCTTATACAAGTCTCTCAAAGGCCGAACAGTGTAGGGCCTTTGAAGGACACGAGTTCAGAACTCAGAGGCGGCGTTCTTTTTCCGTTGCCCACTTACCTGACTTTGGATTTGACTTCTTGCATGCCAGCAAGTGCAACATGTGTTGTCTGTAGCCAAGGCCGCCCTTGGGAACCGAATTCTCAAAGTCTTTCTTCGCTGCCCAGGTCCGCTTGGGGCAGGATCGAAGCTCTTACAAGCGCTTGCTATAAGACTGGGAAGTCCTCCCAACTTGCAGAAACAACTGTGGTGAGTAAAAGCGAGTAAACCGAGTTAAGTGAGTAAAGTTATAGGTTTCAGTGGGGCCTTGGGCGTAGGTGACTGCTTTCTGCAGCCGCCCCTGTGTGTGGCTGGAGCTCACGCGGCTTCATGGATGGCAGTGCCCTTGGCTCTCGCTGTTCAGAGCTTTGTGTTGCATGTCACTTAATTAAGACGTGCTCGGCTTCCTTGGAAATATTGGAAATGGGCGTTGCCTTTGCTGGAGCTGTGGTGGCTCGAAGCATGTTTAGAGTGTTGCCCGGTCACCATGCCCAATCAAAATCCTTTCCCTTGGGTGCCGCGCCGATGGGTCAACATTATGTTCCCATACGTGCGATGCGGCATAATATGGACATACTCTATCCTGAGGGCATTGCGCCTTCCCTGGCTCACACTCCGTGATCGCCCCGATGCCAAGGGAGCAATTGCTTGTGGCTCATGCTTAAGCGTGAACATTGGCAAAAGCATTCCGAAGGTCAACGTGCGGGAAGCTTTGCTTACGCCGATGGGTGTTCGTGGAGATGCACAGGCAGCACCTTACATAGTGGTGTGGGGCGGCCATGGCGGTTGGGACAAGGCAGTGATGCTGTGGAGCTTCGACGTCATATCAACGCTGAATGCCGGTGGGGCAGCGCTCTATCCCGGGGCCAGTGGTGAACAACTGACCCTTGGAGGGATTGACTGGAGCCTCATGAAGACCGGCGTCAGGTTATCAATAGGACCGGAGGTCCTCCTGGAGGTGACATACTTGAAAGGTCCGTGTCTGCAACTGGACCGGTTCTTCGAAAAGCCGAGTGACAAGACAAAGATTAACCCGGCGCAGAATCCCGACTCTTCCAGAGTCTTGGCCAAGGTGCTGAAGCCAGGGCGAGTGAAGGTCGGCGATAGGGTGCTGGTCTTTGAGCACCCTCAAGGAAAGCAGCCCCTTAAGATGATAACAGCCTAGATGATCTAGATGGGCAATTCAGAAGGGCACCGTTCATCGCTTTAGCAGTCCCAGAAGCGTCATGTGCCGCATGTTGATACAGCGTTCCCATGCTTGGCGCCGTGGAAAAAGGACAAGACCAAATGTGCCTAGTCATCTCTGCAGCAGGCATGTTGCATTTTTTCTAGCACCATGCAGTTCGAATCCAAGATTGGACTCAGGCTCGGATGGAGGATCTATTGCTGGAGATTCGGACTCTTATCTGCAACTCCTTGTTTCGGTGCCAGTTGAGAGGGCCGAAACCACTGCTGTTACATTGTTATGAGCTAGTGAGCCGTACAAGGAAGAATTTGAGTACGATGACCAGGATATAGAACTCAGATCAGCCGGCGGCGAAGACGATGATGACCAAATGGTCATAGAGCCGCCAGAAGTGCGGAAAGCCCCTTATTCAATCATGAATCAAGGCCAGGGCCCAGTCAACCCTTGTGTCAGCCCCATTCTCCAGCCCTGAGTTGCCTCGGCATGGGCGCTTGACAGTTGCCTTGCCAGGAGAGCTTGCTAGCCGCCAGCAAAAGTGCATCACTGAAGCTGCTCGGCGTAGAATTAGCCATGAAGGGTAATGGCAGAACAGACCGCTCATTTAGAACCCTCAAAAGCCGGACCACTTTGAAATGAGCAGTCTGTGAAGGGACTGTTTGACAAGTGCTGGCATGCGAGCCCTTTGCACCTTGGCGCTTTGCCTTGACACCTGTAGGCCTCCGAGTTGCTGCAAGTGCCGCAAGAACATGGCTTTGTGCTGCTGCGAGAGCATGGCTGGGACCTGCTGCGCTTACAGGAGATCAAGTCGCATCGGCTTGTCTAAATTGCATCAGCTTGTCTAAAGTCGCATCGATCGCGCGTGGCCAGTGGGGAAAGCATCCCCGCAGATAACCGGCCCAACACTGTGCGTTGGAGCGGGTTCCCGACGCAGCAGCGTGGCCGGTGGATAAACGCACTGAAAGACATCGACTGCGTGCTTTATGCTTGCTGTGCGGCGCATTCTGTGGAGGTGCGTCGCCAATGTGATTCAAAGCTCGATGACCAGAAAACTGGCGTGGCCGGGAAAGCATCCCAGCAGGCAACCGGCCCAACTGTGTGCGTTAGAGCGGAGCCCCGCCGGCGCAGCGTGGCCGGCACACGCTGTGGAAGCGCGTGGCCTAGTGTGATTGCCATGAAAATCATGATGCGTTATGTGACTTCACACGCGCTCACGTGACTTCGCGCTACTGCATGTGGCCATGCAGTGATGTGACTTTACGCGCGTTGATGACGTAACGCGGCCGTATGTAGCATTTGCATGCATTTGCTGGGGCCACGATAGGACGAATTTGGCAAAGTGCTGGGCTGTCGACGGTGATGTCTCTTCCGCTTAATTGCTCAATGCCGCTTCTCGCCGATGACGGTCAGGAGGCCTGGTTCGACAATGACCAGAAGGTGCGGAATCGATGCGGTCTGAGTGCCGCAAAGTGCCCGTCACCAGCTCCATCTTCCAATTTGTCAGGCTGGACGTCGGACGAACGCGTGTGCATTTTCCAATGCATGAGCTGTGGGTCCCGCGCGTGCAGGACCCAAAACCTGTTCGATCTGCATGTCAGCCATCGAGGAGCTCGTTTCTCTAGACTGCGGCCATGGCTTTTGCCCTCAACTCAGTGACATTTTTGCCATATGCAAAATTGCGGCCATGGAAGTTGCAAGATTGCTGCAAGATGCAAACACTGACAGTCTCTTTTTTAGCATGCCGAATGCAAACTCGTTTGTCATGCTTTTGTGCTGAAGGTGAGGAGTGCTGGCGGGGCTACCTGCACACTCAAGTAGATGATGGCAAGTCTGCCGTACAGACTCGTGGCTGGTCCGAATCTTGTTTTTGTGCCGGCGTTGGAAGCCAACGAAAACAGCAAGTAAACAGAAAGCAATGCACGTGCGCGCTTGGTGTGGCCATGCTGAAGGCTGTCCCCAGCACAAGTGCAGCATGGTAGTGCCTCCGCGCTTTTTCTACGACTTCTGCGACGAGGAGAGGCAGAAGAAGTATCAGGACGGGCAAAGCTGCCTGGCCAGCTGTGAAGTGATTGTCAGTGCAAGAACTAGCCGCAGCCAACACAGCCTTGCGCGGCTCAGTTTGGAACTGGTGAGGCCTGGTTGGAATTTCAGTATTGCTCGGCTCGTAGGAGTGGCGTTTGCGAACATATGTGGATGAGAATGCGTCAGTCAAGTGGTGTCCCAACCCCGTGGGCTGTCAGTACGCCTGTGAGTACCAGGGAGTTGAACCTTGTCTGCAATGAGCATGTCCGCTTGCACCCTAGAACGCGCAGGTATTGGTTCACCGGGCAAAGGTATCAGTGACAGTGACTTGATGTGACTTGACATGCAACTTGAGGAGATTGTTGAAATTCATTGCCATTGCTGCTTCATTTGGTGCTGGGCCTGTGGCGAAGAAGCTCACAAGCCCGCAAGCTGCAAGACGGTGAATCAATGGAATGTCAAGAACAGCGCGGAGTCTGAGAACATCAGCTGGATCAGAGCTCACACGAAGAAGTGCCCAAAGTGCCCATGACTCAGCTCAAAATCTATGAGCGCGGCAGCCAGGGCACTTTGTAGCTTTAAATCCGGGCCACACTTGTACGATGCAAGAAAGTTAGCCACAGGTTCGGTCCTCCAGATGGTTCCACCAAGTAGCAACAAAATGGCATAGTCCCAGTCAGTCAGGAATCCATGTGATTGCTCCAGGTCACAAGCCCATTGAGAAGAACCAGGGCTGTAACCACATGGTCTGCTCAAAGGCGGGGCACTTTTAGCTTTGATATCAGGCTCGGGACGTCATGTGCTATTGAATGCAGTTTGAAAGCTCGGGTAGTGGCCGTAGTTGAAGCCAACACGAAGCCTGCCCCTTTGGCGGGCAGTATTTGTTAGAAAGTTTCAAGCAAATCTCGCCAACCACTCTTTGCACTTGATTTTGTTGCAGGCTGGTGGCTGTGGCCATGAGTTCTGCTGGCTGTGTTTGGGCGAGTGGTCATCTCACGGGACTTCAACTGGCGGGTATCTTGGCATTTGTGCGGTGCTGCTGTTGGTTTTGCCGTCGCTCATGTGACACATGTTGCAAGGATGACGATGGCAAAGCAAGGTCTTTCATGCGGTGTGGTGGCATTTTCTCTTGTTCTTTCAGTGTTTGTAGTTTCGCCTTGGCCGCCTTGGGCCTGCATATTCTCCGACCATGCGCCAACAAATGAAGAATCAAAATGTGTGTTAGTTGTCATTGTTTGAGCGGCTGCTCGGCAAATTTCCGCTGAGTGCACAGGAGTTGCCAGCAATGGACGCACCATGACCACTATGGCCAAGGTACTACCAGTGCAACATTTATGACAAGCAGTCCAAGGAGGGCAAGCACGCAGACGAGGAAAAAAGCAGGCTGAAAGCCAAACACGCCCTCGACAAATATATGTTCTATTTTGAGCGCTTTATGGACCACGATCGTGGCATGAAGCTCACTGTCACAGAGGAGCAGGACCGTGGCAGCTAGCAATTCAGATTTGTTTTGAGAATTGGAGCCGGAAGCTGCTGTTTCCTGGAAGCCAACGAGTGTTAGCTAAGACAACTGCCAACGAAACTTGGCCAGGACATCGAGGGGAAGGTCCAAAAGCTGCACGATGAGCATGGCTTCGAGATCATCGAGCTGCAGTTTCTCTACGATGCGCTTCGGCAAGTTCGAGCGTGTCGGCGAGTCCTGAAATGGACCTACGTTTATGGTTACTATTTGGAGGACTCCAAGGCAGCTCGGACGCATCGTTTCACGGGAATTCCCCATCAGTGCCAAGTTGAAACAGTTTGGCATGCGAAAAAGCAACGCCGAGTACCCCTAGAACAGGTCCGCAGGGCATGGTTTGCCTCATACGCGACAGTTCTATGCTGGGCCCCTAGGATGGGTGTTCGGCTGTTCCGCGCTGCCAAAGTTTAAAGTCGGCGTTGCTGTTGTATTTGTAACCCGCTGTCAGGAGAAGAATCTTTTTGAATACTTGCAGAAGAATCTGGAGGAGAAGACTGATGCCCTCCACGAAATGCTGGAGAAGGACTTCGACAAGATATTCTTTGACCAGGAGAACCAGCTGACCAGCGGTTCCGCGGAGGCCCACAAGAAGTTCATGGACTTCCGTATGACGGCCACGAACTTCACCAATGTCACCCAGAAGTTTCTGATACAGATCCTGAATGACTTAGGATCTGACATTGGTCTGGGCCAGAGACTGTCTTCGAGCAGTTCCATGTGATGTTTAAAGGCCGCAGTCTGCAGTCCCCACTGCTGATCCCGAAGCCTCTGAAGTAAAGTGATGCCAACTGGCAACTCAAGGCACCCATATGCACCCATGCATACAGCAAACAAGAAAACCCGATCAGTAGAGTGGGGGCATGTACATGCCACGAGGGCGCGGCATGATGCCTTCACTCACCAAAGCTCAAAGTTGAACGGCACTTGTCAGAGCCCTCAATCGAATGCAGAATGTGCAGGCAGACGAACGGGGCAGACATTGCTCCACCTGCATCTTCAAGATAATAGTCTGGTGGTCAAAGCGTCACATCGAAGCGCAAAAGCCAATGCGTCGAGTGCAAGCACTGTACTGCAATGACTCCTTGGCAGTGTTGTGAAACTGTGTCTTCCAGCTTGTGGCAGGCTGCCAGACGAATTGCAGCTTTTGATGAGGCAGGCAAGCTTGCCACTGCACTTCCATTGCCCGGCCCCATGCCCTGCCTGCCCAAACGCCGCAATATGTTCCAATAAAAACGACAGAGTTGGCTGCGGGGGCAAGATGGCGAGAGCAAGCGTTGCATGAGTTTCTGGCAATGGCCCAGGTTTTTCCAGTCCCTGAAATTGGCTGTTTTCCCTTTTCAGCTTACTTGATAACTAGAGCACTCTAATTGGACTGAAAAGGAGTTCAAGCCCATTGAGCGAGAGCTGTCCAAGCCAACATTGAGAAAACTGGAAGGAGCTCTCCAAGCAGAAGGCTGTACTCGCCTTGGCTTGCAATTTTTGAGTGACTTATCACCATGAATGGGTAGGACCAAAGTGCTTGGATCAGTCAAAGCCTTGCCGCCCTAGGCCATGCGCCGCCGCCGAGCAGACCATCCAAAGGGCCCACGTGCCTTAGGCGCGCGGCCCGGGCACGCAGCGCGCAGGCATTCAAAGACAGATCTGGGGTGGGTACTTGCTTGTGGCTTGGGCATCAGAATGGCCAGAAAGTTCCACAGCTGTATCCATCCCATCAAGCTTCGAAAGTCGCTGGCGGAGAGTGTTTGCGGTCGAGACAGTATTGGCCCGTGCCTTTTGGTTGTGTTGTTTTTCTGTTCCGGATAAAGAGAACTTGCTCACAGATGATGGCTGAGAGAACTTCCTCAGAGAAACTGGCTGAGAGAGCTTGCTCAGAACTCGCTGAAAGAGCTTGCTCAGGTAAACTGGCTCAGACAACTCCCTCGCTCTTTCAAGAATCACAACTAGACTTAAATCAAAGCTTTTTGAGGCGAGGGTTGGGTACGTACGCGCTCGGGATTGCCGCTCTCATGGATGAGGCAGGTCAGCCTTGGATAGCTCTCCGCGCGCAGCCCTTTGCGATCGCCTTCCAAGCCTCGAGAGTTTTGTACCCTTTTCTGACTCCCAAGCGACCTGTGGCACCTGATATTTTTTCGGCTCGGTACTATGAGGTAGGTGCTGGATGGGTGCCCGGAGGGTGCCAAGGTGTTTCGTGGAGCAGTTGCTTCTAGAAAGTGCCAGAGGTTCGATGGAGCTCCGGAGGGATTCACATGGAGTTCCGGAGGGGCCGAAGTTCCGATAGCTTTCGGAGGCGGTTTCGGGGTGCAGGGCGGGTTGGGTTGCGAAGGGTTCCGAGCGGTTGACAGTCGAGAGTTCCCGACGGTTCCCGAAGGGTTCCTTCCCGAAGGTTCCCGAAGGTTCCCGAAGGTCCCCGGTGTTAAAAGCCACCTAGAAGGGAACATAAGGTCTGAAAAGAGCCAAGGAAAGATCAGGTCTGCCTGTTGGCCTGAGGCAGCGCTGTGCTGGAGGGCGAGGCATTGCAGGCACTGGCCGCCAAGCATGCCGAGGGCCTGGCGGCGTGCAAGGCGCAAGTTTCGAGCTCCAACTGCGGTTTCTTGGCAAGGTGCACGGTGTGCTTAAACGCAATGAGAGCAACATGCTTTGGCGATCCCGCGCAGGGTGCCGCTGATGCAGCTGCGCAATCTGAAGAACATCAAGAACTCCCCTGGCAGGAAGTTTGATGAAGTTTGCATCTGTGTAAGTGCCTCCAGGCAATGCCGAATGTTCGGAGACACTTGTGCACGCGGCTCCGTTATGGGCTGGCGGTATGTGACAATGTTTTGGTTCGGAGGACCTCCTGAACGCTTGGGGCGACCTTCAGGCAGACTTGTCGGAGGCATGGCCCAATGGTAGGGTGGAATCGTCCCCTCGCAGACCCCCAATGTGCTGTGATGTTGGGGAGTGGTCGTGAGTGGTCGGCCAGCCAGCAGGCAACTGACGATGCAGCGGCGGAAGCAAAGGCATGCTGTGCCGAGGAGGCAGGTTGGGGCATGCAATTGTGGCAGCGGAGGTGACGCAGTGGAAGTATTTAGGCATTGGCATAAAGCATAAATCTAGGTGTATATCGGTATGTGTACTGTACTGCTGTAAGGTTCGTGTTTGTTGTTCGCATGCGAAGAATGCCAAAGTTTCTTGAGTCACTCACAAGTGGCTTACGATACGTTTTGAACATTCACATTTGGAAGGTGCTGTGGCTTTGTCATTGCCTCGAGGCTTGTCAGGCCTTAGCAGCCCGCGCGCTGGCAGCTGCAGCGAAGCGGGCAGCAGCTTTTGAACGCGAGCTGGGTAGGCCGGCGAGAGAAGGCTCGGCTTCGACGGAGTTCGCAGCAGTGAGAGGCAGCGATTTTGGAGGTGTGGAGTCCGAGAGTAAAATGCGATGGCCCAGTGGGTGTTACGCCTAGCCATGACTGAACCAGGATGCTCCAAGACCACCAGTTCCTTGGGTGCAGAAGTTCGCTATGCTCGTCAGTTGGCAACTGTGCTGAGCTCAGCTTGTGGATGCCTGTGCAATGAAAGCATTCGGTCCACTTCGGGACCTGGACCCCCCCCCCGCCCGTGCACAGCAGTGGGTTCCGAGAGAATCAGCGCATTGCAGAGTAGATGCATCATCCAGGATAAAATGAAGGCAACCCCGATTTCTGACCAGGTGAGAAATCTGCGGGATGAAGCAGCAGAAGGCATGGCTTCGCGTGGCCCAGTTACAGCTTAGCTTGACCGGGCAGGTCTGGCAACCTGCGAGGCCTCAGTCGTGGAGACAGGCAAATGAGCTGGTCGGGCATTGACCGGATCCAGGTATGGCCTAGTAGTTCGCTCCCCTGCTGTAGGCAAGCAAGAGGCGAGTCCCCAAACCGCGGAGTTGCGCACCTCGGTGGCATGTTCTTAATTGCCCACGTGTGGTTATGGTAGACCACGCGCCCACGCGCCCAGGCGACGCGTGGCAGGAGTTGGTCTCGCTCTGGTGGGAGCCTTGCAGCTTCGACGTTTGAGCCAACGTTATGCGTGTGGCAACCTCCAGGGTAGTGAATCCGATCGGGTTAATGTTGCCGCTTGCCAAAGGCAAGACCTGGGCAACAATTTGGAGGCCTTCGCTAAGGAGTCCACAGGGTCAATCTCTGCATGACCCAGCATGATGTTTGTTCTCAGAATGGATTGCAAATGCGACTTGTTTCGACTTGGCCAACAAGTGCTTGAGGAGGCCATAAACAGAACTTGTTCCAGCCAGCTAGTCAAAACAGCTCCCCGGTTCCAAGTTCAGGGTGCCAGGTGTCGTCTTTTGTTCACTTCTTGGGGTGGGTCCGAATGGACGGGAGCATCCCAAATATACGTAATTAGGCACTGAAACAGGGCCCGCGTTTTCTGGGTTGGGGTGGCTTTTTGGTTGCTCGTGGCAACAGCCAGAATAGCGGTCGGCGGGGGAAATCGCTAGTTTAGTATTGGTGTAGAATTGGCCTATAAGGATTAGGGGGGGATTGACTGGAAACACGGTGGGGATCTGATTTGTGCCCTGACAACATCAGCAGCGCTGGCTGCCCTTCGTGAGGAACTGGTGGCACCTTCTGAGCCCAGCGTGCTGCGGCGCTCGCTGGATGCCAGTGTGAGCGATTCAGAGCGCCAGCCCATGCCCTGGAAGCACCGGATGGTCCCGTAGCATGTGCAAGCAGCAAGAATTGACAACTGACTTGGATTATCAGCAGTAGCCATTTTGGCCGAAATCATGGCTGAAACGCATTGATACGCCCTGTTCAACTCTTAGATCAATTTCACACTCGTAGCGAAAGCCATGCTCGAGAGTGCTTTTTGCAATGAGCACCCTGCCGGCAGCCGCGAATTGCAAGAAGGAGGTTTGTAATCAGGGGCCTCTGTTGCTGCAGAGACAGTCTTTGGTGGACAAGCAGATTGAGAAAGCCTTGGAAATCGAAGTCTTAGACTTAGTCTTGGCCAGTTGGCCTGCCAGATCTGGGTGGAGATGGACTTTGCGGACTCGGAACGGGAGGTTTTCTGCACTGAACGAGGCCCAGGAGCTCAGAGTCAAGTTCATGGAGCCGTGCAGGCGGACCTGACGTGACCACGCCGGGCTTCCGTGGCCGGAGGGGCAGGGACCGAGCAGAAGGGTTCGCAACGCCATGCTGGTGGTCTGGTGGCTGGATGAGGGCGCCGACACCGTGACACCATGTGCTTGCGGCGGCAACGAGCACCATTTGTGATCGAAGCGTCAATTTCTGCCAACTTCTTGCTCAAAGATATCAAGCATAAGCTCCGGGCACCTGCACCGGCATGTGCACCGTGTGCTTGGAGAATCTTGGAGACGGCGTTTTCGTGCGGTGTTGGCTGCACGAAATTCGGGATTCTAAAAGTCCCTTGGGTGAATAGAAACGGCAATGCCACAAAGACGACGTGGCAGGGCATCGCTATGAATTTGAAGGGGGTATGTTACAGGAACCCCCAAACACGATGGGCTTCCTTTTGAATTTCCCTTCCAACCTTAAGCTCAGGTGAATGTGATATTCCCTTACGGGCGGGTGAGCCCCTGAAGCATGCGCTCGACAGACAGGTGTTGCGAAGGAAAAGAAACATAGAGAGCGAGAGATGGCAGGTGGTCTAAGACAATCGCGCTGTTTGCTGATGAGCGGCAAGGACTGCTTTGGCAGAGGCAGCTCGCCGAGCAGCCCAATTTGACGAGGAGTTGCAGAAGCAGCGGCAGAGGCCAGAAGCAGTGGGAAAGTCTAGAGATGAAACTCACAAAGTTCACAAACTATATAAACACCACATATGTTGATATATGTCTTAGACCAACACTTAGCCTCTATCTCTGTCGAGGTTAAAACCGGCCAATAGTCATGTAACAAACCACGTCACTCTTCATGTAAGTAAAGAAACACGTAAAAGATCATGTAAACAATGTGTGCCTCCGTGTTGGAAGCTGGAAGCTGCATCATTTGCCATGTAACAGGCCTGAACAGAGATAAAAGGCGCATCATCAGACAAACCAATGGCAGAATATTGGCAAGAAGAAGGTAAGGCTCCAACGCGCCCCTCCCATCTCCATAACAAGCGCCCAAGATGTTGATTGAATGAGCTTTGTTAAATCCTTAGCAGCTACCATAAAAATGTTAGGAGGCCAAACATCTTAAGTCTTAAACACGTGGTTGGTAAGCCTAAACATGCGTGAGCAGAAGCAAGAGCAATTCCTGAGCATGCAGTTGCAATCTTCGGAATGGTTCCTAGGTGCGCAGCTCCAATGTCTCCGAACGGTTCAGAACGGTTCAGGGTATGATGCTGCAATCCCTCCTGAACGGTTCAGCACGGTTCAGGGCATGCTGCTTGCAATTCTTCCTGAACGGTTCAGAACGGTTCAGGGTATGCTGCTGCAATCCCTCCTGAACGGTTCAGAACGGTTCATAGTATGATGCTGCAATCCCTCCTGAACGGTTCCTGGGAAGCTTGAGTGACGAACGGTTCAAAACGGTTCTGAACTATACGCCTGCTCTGTGCGCTGCTTGCTAGACGGGCTCCAGAACAGTTCAGAACGGTTCAGGGGCATGGTTCCAATGCCTCCGGAACGGTTCAGAACGGTTCAGGGGCATGCAGTTTGGTTGCCACAGTTCCTCGGAACGGTTCGTGAGCACGCGGCTGGCGGTTCCTAGTCCTAGGTAAAAGGTCAGGCCGGCATCGGAACATCGAAAGCGATCCGAAATCTCAAAGCACAAAAAGGCAAAGAGTTGTCTGAAATTTACGCGAAAACTTACGCAAACATTTACGCAGAAAAAGGCTGGCTGAACCGTTCTGAACCGTTCAGGGGACACATTTTGAGCATGGAGGTCCGTCCGCAGAACTTGCGTGCACATGTGACAGCATCGATCGCTCCTCTTTTCCGGCCTTTGCTCAACTGCATTTCTGGGATCGGTTCTTGGATTCTCCGAGTCTCGCGGACTAACGAGGCGAAGCCGCGGCAGAGAAAAACAACGCCCGACAGTGCCACAACGCGGCAAGCAAAGCTGCAAGAAGGCAAGGCTTGAAATCGTCCTTTGCAACTCCTGACTGGTTGGATCAGTGGCCACGCGGAGACAACCGCGTGAAGAGTCGTGTGTGCATGTGTGTTTGTGTGTGTGTGGGTGGTGTCTGTGTGTCTGTGCGCCAGGTGCATGTTAGGAATATAGACGTCCGTTCATCTTGATGTTCTTCAAGATTGGCCCTCGCAAGGTCGCCCAACAATAAGATGACTAAGTCTTGATTGTTGGAAAGAGCCCTCGAATATTCTTAATGTTGTTCACGCAGCTGACATAACCAATGACCGGACATACCGGACGTTCTATGACAAGACGCAGTGTTCCTAGTCCTCGGTTCCTACAGCATCTCCTCTCTCGTGATCACTAAACACACGTGTATCTTGGCGGGGGTTCTGGCTGCAGGGTGTTAGCATGGCAACGCAACCCAAGCGCAAGCAGGGGCGCACGTGCTTTTGCGTCCGGAGCTTCTTGGCTTTGCCAACGGCACACATGAGGGCCGTCCTAAAACCCCAGTCTTCGGTTTTAATTATCGCCGAACGGGGAGAAGTAAAAGTTGTCAAAAGCCGTGCGCGCGCAAGGAGCGCGCAAGTGCGGCCCAAGGGACGCGCAAGGTTACAGTTTTGAAGGGTTTCATGCACTGATGTTGCCTAGCTTCATGAAAGGAGGTGATATTTTCTTGCTGTACTTGTGCTTTTCGAATCAGTCAGACGCCAAACGAAGCCAAAGCTTCTGCGGTCATGACTTCAACAATCAGCACGACAAAATCCGCGCAAGCCGCGCGCAAGCCGCGCGCAAGTTGCGCGCAAGCACGAGAAGCCCCAGCGAGACTAGCCGTGCTGTCTCGGATGTCCTTAGCGGCGCGGTTCAAGCAATGAATAGGCACCCGCAACATGCACTTTCCTTCTTTCATGCTGTGTCCAAGCTGTGTGGCAGAGCCTGCTGTTCTTTCTGTTGGGTCAAGGGTATGTTGCCAGCTGGCATTCAATTGCCGGGAGCGACCTCAGCGGGAAAAGTCTTTGTGGGTTGCTGTGTGAACGACAAACACACTGCTTAGAAAAGCTTGCGCGCAATCCACGCGAAAACTTCGCAAACCGAGGTCAACGAAAACAAGTTTCTGCGCCACTGTGCGCGCGCAAGTACGCGCAAGTGCCGCGCAAGTGCGGCCCAAGGGCCCAATCGCGGGCAAAGGAATATAGGACAACCGCCACATGCTCGCGAGCAAAAAAACATGTGGCTCGCAGCTACCAGTACGCATGAACATTGATGTCAAAGATGTCGCGGCTCTTCCAATGGTTCATGACTCATGATGCTTTGCCTTCCTTCAGTGATATGAGCGGGTGAAATTCGCGAAGGGGAAGGTTCTCATCAATAAATATCCCTGTCCATGAGGGACACTAAGTCCAGCTCACGCATGGTCACTCAAGATCGGGCAAGCGAAAATGAATTACAACTATTTACCTCACTATGTACCATATCATTTACGCACTCTTTCTATTAAGGGCCAGGCCAACCAGAAAGCTTGATTTATTTACGTGATTGTTTACGCTTCTATTTTCGGGTACGGCGAAAACGACAGACCCCCCTATTTATAGAGGCTAAGTTTTGGTTTAATATATGTCGCCCATGGTTTGGCTGGGGCCAGCTTCTTCGCCACAAGTGTTGTGCGCAGTCAGGCTTGCGCGGCGCCACAAGAAGATCAAGGGCGTTGCCTCAGAGGCAGCCTCTGTGAATTGGGTGGCCTGTTGTACGACCCTACAACTAGGCGCCACTGGGCCACTGGTTGTGTTTTGGCATTTCCGGCCTTTTTCAACATGGCCTGGGTTCGCAGCGTTCTTCTGCTGCGGGCATGAGAAGCCGGCACCTCGCTGGATCTGGAGACCATGTGACTCATGGGGCAGCACGTCTATTGTGCCCAGACGCCCAGACGCCCAGACGCTGCGCAGGTCGGCACGGAGGGGCTGGAAGATCGCCTGCTGGCCCTGGGCGATGCCTTTGAGCTCCAGGCCAAGTTCGTAACCACAAAACTTCTGAGTTTGTTATATTTGGTGTGTACTTGTTTTGGGAGAAGGGGGGGGATTATGTAAG